GATGATCTAGAGTGGTTTGGCTCCATTTAAACGCCGGTTTTACTTCTTTTAGCTAGAACTTGTGAGATGCTGAGTGAAACTTTAGTTACTTGAATCCCACTGTATTAATCCCGTATGAATCACCTTCTGAAGAGCGGACAAAATTTGTCCACGATGGTTCGCTTTTTACAAGGTTGCATTGCCTAACGATGAAGTGAGGTTAATTCACAGGAGCCAGGTTCTGGAGAAAATTACATGTGTTCGAGTTTATGCACTCTGGGAGAAATCCAAGCTCTGAGGAGAAGTCACAGGAGAATTTTGTGTTGACTTTGGTGTCGTTAAGGTTTCACTGTCCTAATTACCCAAGCGGCAGTGCTTCACAGGGTACGTAATAAATTTCTGGAGTTGGGTTTAGGAGCTTGCAAACCTTCTTGCGATATCTGTCATACTAAACTATTAGTAAACTAGGCGAGGTTAACTAGGTAGTAGTTAGTGAGATATTTGCTCTTCTCTGCCGAGGGAGGAGTGCGGTGGCTTTGAGGGGTGCAGAAGTTAGCCAGCCTTTGGCTGTCGATAGCTCACTGGATCACACTCGGAGAATCCTCGTAAACCACATGAGGAGACGCGGAGCACGTGTCCCGCTGGACCCGTGCCGGTGACCCCCAGGCCTGCTTGCAGCCCCACGGAGAAGCCCGGCCTCTCCGAGGGTCGCGGGCGGTCGCTGCCTCTGGCGTGACACCTACACGGCAACGGCGCGAAGGCTTTCGCCAGTTCCGCCACCCCTGAAAAAACACAGGGAAAAACTATAATTTTTTTTTCCCAGCAAATTCACAAATGCAGTAAAACTGTATTTTATTATTTGCTCTTTATAACTGCTTACGACCAAGAACGGCTTTTATCTTGCTAAGCTCGCAATTTCCCAGCTGAAGCTCCAGGGTTTTTTTTGAAAAAGCGCCTTTTTCCCCAGCTAGAGCTTGCATTTTTATAGAGTTTCGTGATACGTGTTTTAGACCCAGTTCCTCCTTTTTGTCTGCAGCCGAGATAAAGAATTAGTAGTTTAAAACAATAACTACATGTTCCACTGTGATCAAGGAATTAGATAATCTGGCATGTTTGCTTAAGGGGTCTGTATCTTGGGGCTTTTATAGGGCAGTATTAAAGCCCTGAGCCTTCTTATTATGCCAATACCCAGAAGATTGCTTTAATGAGAAGTAAAGGGCCTTTTTCCAATTACAAGGGAATAACTGTATTAAGTTCCTGTGTTATGTCAACCTGCTTTGATTTGATTACTGCGAAAGAAATGGATTTATCTGTCAGTGTTACTTCATTAAGCCTTCTCATTGATGTTTTGCAGAGTAATATAGTGCAGTTTGCACATTTAAGTCTAAATACAAAGAAAATTGGCCGAAAGCTAAGACGCGACCCCTGAAGAGGAGACACAAGAGCCTTTGCTTGTCGCTTTCTGGTCAGAGTCCAGAACTTTTAACTTTGGTGGAAGACCTTGAGCATTATATGGGCTCAGGTTAAAGCAAGGTAAAGGGCAAGGAGTTTTCAGCCAAAACTGAGATGGCTAAACAGTTTGGACTCTAGACAAATCTTAGAATTATTCTGCCAGGTTAGTCTCCTACTCTCTAGCCGCTATAGCGTGCTTGGGTACGTAGAACGATGTCTGCGTAGCTGTAATGCCTGCCTTCCCGTCATGCATCCCAAAAGCTGTCCCTCTCCCTGTCCGGGAGCGTCCTGCCCGCTCGGCCGTGCTTCCCCTGCCGAGGCAGGACTTCTGGGCATGCCCAGGGACATGGTCTGGGGTGCTTGCAGGGACGAGGAATACCCCAGCCCTGAGGTATGCGTCGCTCCCATGTGATTTTAAGGATCTGATGGTACCCTCTGGTCATTGGCACGCTTGGCGTGAGGGAGAGGTGGGGATAACGCAGCAAAGAGCACCAGAGAGGACAGCTGGCCGGGAACTGGGCTCGCCACAAAGGCTCGTGTTTAATTGTAAATAGTTCCTCTCGCGTCATTGGGACCATCCAGCGGTTGGCCGTGAAGCCGGTGTTTCCATGTGCTGCTGGAAAGTACTGGGCATCTCCGGGAGCGTGACACCCCTTCCCTGTGCCTGAAAATAGGTCTTTTGAAGAACATGGCTCAAAAGAGGCCCCACGAGCCGGGTACATTGCGTATATCGGCCCAGCATCTGCGGAAGGCATGATGGAAGACTCCTGGGAGCCCACCACCCAGCTCCAGGCCAAGGGAAGAGCTCGTGAGCCAGTGGAAGGGGCTCTGGCAACAAGTGTTACTTGAGATTAGCTGACTTTTTGCAGAAAATAAGTGGGTTAATAAGTGAAGTTTCTACCAGGGAGCCATGGGAGTAGTGCCTCCTTGTTGCCAAGAGCAGAGCCCGGTGCTGGTGTGGCTCTGTCCTTTACCCAGCGTTTGGCACGTGCCCCAGTGGGCTCGTGGCTCTGCCCGGGGGAGCTGGGAGCAGAACGGAGGTGGGCTCGGAGCTGGCCCCCCGGCCCCGGGTGCCCTTCCCCAAGGCTGAGCTGTTCCGCTCACCGGTGGGTTTTGGAAGCTGTGCTTGAGGGAGGGACGATGCCCATGGAAGTCAGTGGGATAATATCCACTGATTTTTAGCAGGCGATGGATCGGGGCTCTACAGAGTTAATTGCCTGTTACATAACACAAACGATTTTTAAAAATATGCCTAATTAACCTAATAGAATGGTTGATCTGATCTGTCAGGTAAATGATACACATTTTCTTTCTTTTTCTGGAGCTTAATTAAATATTTACCTAAGAGTGTCTTGTGCTATTAACACGTTCATCTGTTACTGAGATAATAGGAATTGTAATTGGGGGAAAGTATTAAACTATACAAATGTGTGGGGGGGTTTTTTGGTGCTTTTTTTAATTTTGGAAGTCAACCAGGTTTGGTCGCAGCACCCATATTTTAGAGTGATAACGACCATATCTGTTCCTCAGATGGGTGATGTTCCCACCGATCCCCGGAGTGTGGATGGACCCGTGCAGAGGCGGGGGGGGGCTGCTCCTGTGTGTCATCTTTGGCAGCGCTCTGGGAAAGTTTCTCTGGCTCATGAGACCAAATATGTGTTTTTCCAGTGAGATTAAAGCTACCGTTTGTGCATGGCAAAAGGCAAGCGATGTTATTATTTCATTAGGAGGCTGGCGGGTGCACAGGAGCAAGTTGGAAAGTAGCACTGAAATGTGCAATAATGCTGTTGTAGATCAGTGTCCATCACATTTCCTGGTATTTAACACCCTGTAGTGAAAAGTAATGGATTTAAGCAGTTATGGTCCAGTCCATCAATGTGCTGAAGGATGGACGTGAGGGATCTCATGGACTTGAATTAACAGGAGAGCAAACTATAATATCGGTGGAATTATTCACAGGCTTCCATTAAACCTGTGCGCAAGTGCCTGGCTGAACCGGTGTCACAGAATCACAGGATGGTCGGGGTTGGCAGGGACCTCTGTGGGTCACCCAGCCCAACCCCCTGCCCAAGCAGGGTCACCCACAGCAGGCTGCACAGCACCGCGGCCAGGCGGGGCTGGAATATCTCCAG